GTCTCGCATTGCTTGCGTTTAGTTAACGGGGTGCTACGGGTCACCACGGGCCGCCGGGCTGTAGAGGGTCCTGAAGAGATCCATTGCACCTAGTCAGCTAAAGGCAAGCTACGTTCAGCGTTCAGTCGCACGACGTTGTCGCAGCGCTACCCACACCGACCCACACCTACCTACCTACCCCTCGCCAGCCTGAGGTGTGGACTAGGAGGAGCGGCCGAATCGTGCGAGCTAGCATACCACCGCGGTAGTTGCGACTTGCGAGGTCACTGGGGAAAAAAAGGGGAAGAGAGAAAACTTTTTATTCGTGGGGGTTAGGGGGAAATAAAAATAGGGTCTGCCACCCTCTGCGAGAGGAGTTGGTGTGGGGGTGGTGGACGGGAGAGAGAGATGTCATTCTTTGTTGCGAACCGCTGCTGCTATGGTCTGAGAATCTCTCCCTCCGTTCCGCCCTCCAAAGGGAAATAGAAAAATTGTCGAGTCGACGCGAGCCACTCAGACGGAATAGAGTTCTCTGGCGGACTAATTTGAGCAGAAAGGGCGGAAACGGCCCGAGAAATGAGGACGGCGACATTACGCAAGAGCATTTACGTTCCTTTAAAAAAAAGTCGCACTGAGGGCGTACCCTGGGACAAAGGGGGAGAGTGGAAATCGTTCAAGTATAGCTTTGGAGTGGGAAGATTCAAAGTAAAATAACGGTCAGTATCCTGGCAGGGGCAAACTCGTGGGTACACCCCCCCCCCCCTCTTCCAGTCACCCTGGGTGACCCGCACGCAAAAAAAAAAATGGCACCCTAGCTATTTTTTTAGCACTGGTGCAAAAAATTCGTCAGCATAGGCCCAGCTATTTTTTTTAGCTCCAGTGCTAAACTTTTAGTTGTACAGCAAACTGAAGCTATGAACTAGCTGTATCGCCAATACTATTTAGCAGTACAGCTAAATATTTTATCCTATAGCTAAATTTTTGGCAGGGGTGCCAAATTTGCCTGCTAAATCGATTAGCACGGAACCGATTTTTATTTTTTTCCGTGCGGTCCTCTCTGATCGCATTTCTCGGCTGCACACCCGTCAGGGGGCTTTTAGAAACAACGGGACTCGGATAGGGATGCCTTCGACCACCCAGACCCCAGTCCAACTGTACCAGGCTACAGCAGAACGATATTTGAACGACATCGGAACAATATTAGAACAATGTCGACACCCGAATATGGTCCACCCTCGTGTCGAATCAATTGTGATTTCTAGTCCTGTTCATTCAACGGTACAGTATAACTACAAAAGGGGGCGGGGTTCATCAGCATCAGCCATTTACGTTCCTTCAGCATCAGCATCAGCCACCTTGTACAACACAATTTGATCGTATAAATCCACATCCTCAATCGTCCAACGAAAACTTCAAGCTCAGAGCTGAACGACGGAGCAGGCGAGAGCGGAGAGTCGCGTCCGTCCCAGCCGCACTTCTGGTGAAGACGGGTGACCCACCACCAGCGGTACGGCCCCCCGCCCTCTCTCCTGCTCGCTCGCCTCGGCTAGGCACCACGGGCCAACAGCACCACTCTATAAATTAGGTTTGCCATCATTTCCACCGGCACATGCAAATTGAATAGACGCTCTCCTCCAAGCGGGCTCGGCTGGGATCGGCTGGGCTCGGCTGGGCACGGCCCAGTAGACCGGCTCGGCTCGGCTCGGCTGGGCTCGGCTGAGCTCGGCTCGGCTTGGCTCGGCTCGGCTCGGATCCGCTTCCCACGACGGCGTCGACACGGTCAAGACCTCCTTGTGGTAATTGGAGCAACGTGAACCGAGCGACAAACTTTGTGCTATCCCCGGCCTCGCCCACTCCCCCCCCCCCATTCCCTAACCTCCTCTTCACCGTCGTGCGATTCAGACCCCAAACCCCCCAAACCCTGCCCCCTCCCTTCCATCCCCCGCCGCTAATGGATTGGGGGCTGACGTGCGCCTGGAGCGGCGCGCAGTGCGAGAGTCGCGTGGCGCGGGCGGGGAGGCTGCTGGGGGGGGGGCAGCGCGTCAGAGAGCCCCACACCGAGTAGCGGGGGCGAGGAGAGGCGTGAGTCCCGGCTGCCGACTTCACTGATAGATGAACCGAAGTGTTCAACCGGTAAACACACACTGTAAGTGTGCAACTCCAAAGTTAAACGCTTGCACATGTTCAACTCCATAGTTTGCGCGCTTGCGTTGTATTATTCCGTTTGACTGCTGACGGTTTGATGGATCTGTCTTCCTCCTTCGTGCAGGCCACAGGCCATGCACACGCAAGTAAGTAATACCTCCATGCAAACTCGCGCGTCAGAGAGCCCCACACCGAGTAGCGGGGGCGAGGAGAGGCGTGAGTCCCGGCTGCCGACTTCACTGATAGATGAACCGAAGTGTTCAACCGGTAAACACACACTGTAAGTGTGCAACTCCAAAGTTAAACGCTTGCACATGTTCAACTCCATAGTTTGCGCGCTTGCGTTGTATTATTCCGTTTGACTGCTGACGGTTTGATGGATCTGTCTTCCTCCTTCGTGCAGGCCACAGGCCATGCACACGCAAGTAAGTAATACCTCCATGCAAACTCATGAAGCACATCTGTGCACACTTTAGATACAGTGTGCATTCGATGAACACATTATGTACAGTGAGCACACCATGCACACTTTACATAACTGTGCAATGCTCACTGGTTTCTAGACTCTGCCGTCGTGTCGTTCACTGGACGGTGCAACGGAGAACGACAAGACGGCAGAGTCTAGAAACCAGTGAGCATTGAACAGTGTTATGTAAAGTGTGCATGGTGTGCTCGTGCTCACTGTACATAATGTGTTCATCGAATGCACACTTTATCTAAAGTGTGCACAGTAGAGTTTTCGATCGGGCGGGTTGGCGTGTTCCAGCTAGCCCGACGTCAGTCCTGGCGTGGATGCGCGCGTAGGTAGGTCGCTATTGGCCAAATCACATGCACGGGCCGTCTGCTGCAGGAGGGCGTACAGCCCGGCAGGGGGGCCTGACCACAATTACACCACGAGGACGGGCTGGCTTGGGCTGGGATACGGCTTCGTGGGCTGGTCCGGGGCTGGCAGCGAGGGAGGGAGGGGAGTGGGGATCAGGCATTAACTGAGCCCTCCTGCCCGCTCCTGCCCCGCGACTGCCCCAAAGAGGCCAGATGTACTCTGCAGCGTCCACCATGGGCCCGAACCATGCCTACAGGGCTCTGCTCTGATGGATTTTCAACGTTGATGCACCCGTGGCCCCCCTCCTTTCTCACTGGGTTTGTTTATAGCGCTAGGAGGGGGTGGGGGGAGTGGGGATACAGTTGGGACCTATCCTTCTCGCTCTACCACTTGTGAGCGGGCCGCACCACGTCTCGAGTGAAGCGGCAGGCTTCGGCTCACACGACGACCACCTCGCGCCGTCCTCTATGGCTGCGAGAAGGAGGGCGAGGGGATAACGGCTTGTTTTCGAACAGGGCCCCCGACAGTTTTTCCTCTTGTTGCAAAACAGAGAGCAGCGTCAGAAGGGGTCCCTGCGGGTTCTGATCCCCGCCGCTGGGGCCGGCGGGGCGGGGGGGAAAGGGCGGGCGCGCAAGGGCCCCGGGGAAAGGGTGGGGGATTATCTCGACTCTATCAACACACTGGGCCACACGGCCAGCCCGGGGCCCAGCCGGCCCAGCCCCGCAGCCGCAGGACAACATCCGATAGCCCTTGCCTTGTGAGCGTCAGAGTTACACTTTAAAGTTTCGACTCGAGAATTTGCGTAGAAGCTACTCAGGCTAAAACTCAGTAAGATATTCTTTAGTATCCCAAAACTTTTCACCAGGCGTTTTCCTTGTATTATAATTACGGTACACCCCAAGACTAGAAATGAAAGTGCATTTTCTTGAAAAGAGTGCCAAGTGCATGTACATCTACATCGAAAAGACTGAGTGCATGCACTTTTTTCAAGAAAATGCACTTGATTTTAGGTACCTGCTTTTTGTCGGGTTGGTACTCATAAAAGCTTAGTTAGTAGCACGAAATATTTTATCGGTACAAGTTACAGCAACAGCACAAAACGCCAAGTAGTTTTTAGGCACCAACTTTGTCGGAAAAGCTTTTGAGTGTCGGTGGATGCTGGAGGCTGGACGCTCTGTCCCCGGGAGCGCGCGGTCTCCAGGGTCCAAAGCCTACAATGGGCTGCGGCGCCCCCGGGCCCGGGCCGCTATCTCCCTGGCCAATGCCCGCCCAAGGCCTCGCCCCCAGGGCCTCGCCCACGGCCTCGCCCACGGCCTCGCCCAGGGCTGGCTGCACTGCGAGCGCTGTATGCATGGGCGGGCAGCGGCCCCACCGGGCTCAACACTGTGCTGCCGACGTCAACTCCCACGCCCATCTTGCCCAGGGGTGCAGGGTGTGTGTGAAACACTGTGCGTTCACGGGTGAATTTATTCGTCGTAAACAATACAGCACTTCTGTTGTTGAGTTTATAAAGCGGTGCAAGAGTCGTTTTTGAGCGCCCGATCACGACACAGTAAAATTCCATCGTTGTAGACGAGCATGTTAATGGAAAGTCGCGTTTAGAAGTGTGGGCTGGACGCCTGATGATTCGAGGGTAGGCCACCCACTCCTCTTCGCTTCACTGCCCATTTGCATTCGCCTAAGCACGAGGCGCTAGCTTCTGTTCGATCGCACGTCTTTCGGACTCTCTTAAAACTTCTCTATCTGTCACCTCTCTTCTACTCTCTCTCTCTCTCTCTCTCTCTCTCTCTAACCTCCCTCTTACACATCTTTAATGAGAGGGTCTCTCGCCCTCATCCTACGAGAACGAAAAAGTTCCAATCATTAAAAATAATTTAAAGTGGGTTCTGCTGCCGTCTTTAGGCTTTGATGCCTCTCCCTCTTTCGTGATTACAGGGCTCCCGGACGGCAAAGGACGACGACAAGGAGGCTCTCATCCCGCCCCGATATTACATCCT